GGAGGGAGCTAAGAGATCATCCAGTCCCACCCCTGCCATGGGCAGGGACACCTCCCATTATCCCAGGTTGCTCCAAGCCCCGTCCAACCTGGCCTTGGACACTTCCAGGGATCCAGGGGCAGCCACAGCTTCTCTGGGCAACCTGTGCCAGGGCCTCCCCACCCTCACAGGGAACAATTTCATCCTAATATCCCATCCATCTCTGCCCTCTGGCAGTGGGAAGCCATTCCCCCTTGTCCTGACACTCCAGACCCTGGAGTACAAACAGTTCCTCTCCATCTTTCCTGTTGGCCTCGTTAGGCCCTGAAAGGCCACAATTGGGTCACCCCAAAGCTTCTCCTCTCCAGGCTGAACAATCCCAACTCTCCCAGCCTTTCCTCCCAGCAGAGCTGCTCCAGCCCTCTGATCCTCTTGGGGCCTCCTCTGGACTGGCTCCAGCAGCTCCATGTCCTTGCTGGGCTGTTCCCAGGGCTGGAGGCAGCTCTGCAGGGGGGTCTCACCTGAGAGGGGCAGGATCACAGCTTTGGGTTAGGAGAGTTGTGCCAAAGGGAAATTCCTTATGAGAAATATAAAAAGCCAAACACAAATCCACTTTGCTTAACTCAAAGAAACCCCACAGCCACAGTCAGGAGTGTATGGGAAATATTTGCTCTATCCCTGTGCATTTGCTCAGGCACCACATCCTACCAAAAGCCAGAGGTCACCAGGCTGAAGGACCTTCAGCCCCATCCAAGCTGGTTCCTCTTTCTGGAGTGCTTCCTGGGGTCAGCTGGGCACCTTCCATTTCTGTACTAGGTTCAAGACTTGTTATCACATCCACTGAGCCATTTGAAAGCTGCAGGTTACTGGTGTGGAAAAGTCTGCAGAGCTCTTCTGACCCCTGAATAAATAAGGAATTCAGCTCCTTCCATACTAGCCCTTCAACAATAATCCCTTCCCTGAAGAGCAGGGATTTGTTTCTGTTAACTGAACACAGTAAGAGGTGTGCTCAAACCTTTCAACAGAATGTCAGAAAAACAATGCTCCCTTTAAACCCTTTCTCAAAGGGATTGTTAAAATAAATAAGTGATTGAATCCACCACCATAAACTTCATATGGTGTCAGCCTGAACCTCCTCTGTCTTGATTTTACATAAAAATAACTCTTTAAGGTATTGAAATAAGTTGGGTGGGAAAAAAATAGCTGTAAATGTAACTATCTATATATAATCATTTTCCACTTCTGGATGCAAACAAGGGAGGGGAATAAAGTCACAGGGCCTTTATAAACACATCCCTGTATCAGATCTGGAAGCAGAACCCAGCTCTGGCCTGGCATATATTCCACAGCCAAAAAAAACAACCTCTTCAAAAACATTATGAACATCAGAAACAGCTTTCTATTTACTGGATCCCAAATCCTGAGAAACCAGGCAGACAAACAGCACTCAGCAGCTGAACTGGATACAAAGGAGTTGCTGAGTCTTGGTGAAGATGAATTTGAAGGTGGCAAAACACACCCACACCCCCATCAGTCAGAGCAGCACAAGACACAGGCAGGGCTTTTAAAGCCAAGGAAGCCACTACACACAAGGCCAGTTTTGGGGTCTTAATGTTTGAGGCATTTCATTCCTTTTCCTAGAGAGTTTGGGGGGGTTTCTTTGTTTTAAACAAAACAGCCTCAATTATTTTCTATTTCCACCTTACAGACTAACACATCTTCATAGAAAATGCAGAAACAGCACTTGATCAAAGATGCTGTTCAGTCATCACATCCTTTCTGCATCTGCAAAAACCCTGTCAGAAAACTGCTGCTGTTGTTTTAAACCAGGGCTCCTGGAAACGAGAGTAAATCTTTACACTTCCCTCAAAATATGAGAGTAAAACCCCAATTAAGGCATCTTCTATTAACCATTAATTTGAACACTTAAAATAATCAGACAACAACGTAAGTAATATCAACCCACCAAATGTATTCTGAAGCAGAACACAGCCATGGTACTGGAGATCATCAGATAGAGATGAAAGAAGGGTGCAGTTTTATTTCACCACAAATCCACATAAGTTCTCAAAATTCATCCAGTTAGTGCCATTATTATTACAAACTGGCATTGGCCAGCTCAACAGCAGTACCTTCTAGGAGGAAAAAACCTGATTTGCCAGAAAGATTAGACATTTAACAAATTAAAACACATTTTACACATATTTAAGGCCAGCAGCCAAGAACACTGACAGTATTTTCCATCAGTGAAAGCTTCCAGTTTGAGAAAGGTTGCAAAGAGTCCTTGACAGAAGACTGAGATGAGGCATCCAGAGGCAAGGTGAAGGAGGAGAAAGCATTGTTTTTCTTGCAGGATGTGGCAATGTGCTATGCCAGGAGATGTGGCAGCCTCTTCAAGCACTGCTCACACTGAGCTAGTGCCCAACTTGATAGGAATATTTTAATCCATTCCAGTGTCTAAACAAGTGTCTGTGTTAACCAGATAAAAGGGTCAGAGTGAAGTCACCTCCCCAGTGGTAAAAATCACATTAAGTCCCAGAGTATTTACATGTCCCAACACTTCTACTGGTGCAAAGTTTCCATGTTGAGCCTCCAATTGTACCAAAGGGGTGAGTCAGAGCATCCTCTAAACCCAGACCAGAGCCCAGGCAGCACATTTCCCTTTCCAGTTAATTGCTGACACCACTGAAGCCAGATGTGCTTGGCTGGAGGTGTGACAGACCTGCACTCCAAGGTAAAACAGGGAATAGCCCCTGAGGAACCATCCTTTGCACAGAATTTAAGCACACCATCAACTTGCTAATGCAGCAGCACGTGATACTCCACTGCAGAAGGAATTTTTTGGTTCCTCCACCTCACCTGGCACACAGTCAAAAAAGCAGTCAAGTGCACTGTACTCCTCCCTCCACAAGGAAAAAGGATGTATCTTTTAACAAATGTGATGTCTTAAAGTCAGTCTTGCTGAACTGACAACAGAAGCCTCCATCCATCTCCCATAGTCAGGCTTTCATCCTTTCTGTCCATGAATCATCACAGGGCAACTGACTCACAGAAAAAAAAAATATTTGTTCAGAGGTGGATTTTCTCACTCTGCTATCTGCTATTTCCAAACTCAACTGCCTTTAAACAAAGGTTCATTTCTTTGTAGCTCGCCTCAAATGTTGCAACCAAGTCCCTAACTGGCATCAGTCACAGCAATTACCATCAGTTGACTCGGTCCCAAGGCAGGATCATGTGAAAAAGGAGACATGCAAAGCTTATAGAGCAGTAAAGTCAGATGCAGGGCCTGACAATTACCCTGACCTATATCCCTACATTGGTGGCAGCACTGAACTCCTCCCCAGCCTTGTCACCAGCTTCAGAGGGAGCTGCAGAGCCATCACAGGCCAAGTGTTTCACTGGGATGTTAATGCTGGAATACCCACCAGATTTTGCCAGTATATTCAGTAATCTCTTGGTCTCTGCAGCTACTGGTGCACTAATGAAACAGGGAAAAGCCCTTAACTCCAAGAACAACAGTAAAAAACAGGTGTTTGATGGCTCCTTAACTCACAGGTATGTAAATCTTAAGTGTTTTTCCACAAGCCATACTACAAAAGAGTGACAGAAGCCTAAATCCTCAAGAAAGATTAAAAATTAAAAAAAATCGCACACTAAGTTTAACTCCTCAGCTTTGAGCCAGGTTGGCTTTCTCTTTTCTGCTCTTGTTTTTGCAGCAGTTAAATTCCCAGTTCTGAAGGTGAGCCCACAAAAAGAACTCAGCCCTCAGCAAATGAGGGTATAAACATATAGTGCTCCTGATATGCTGTGGTAATCACTTATTCCAACCTTTCCCCTCCTCACCAGGAAACAAAGCAAAACATGGCTCACTTGAGAGGCTGAGCCCTGGAACACTCACTGTGGGGTGAGAGTACACACTTCAGGAGTTACCAGCACCATAAATCCACACCTTCATTTGCTTCGGGGCAACCTGCTCACACAGCCATTCCCTTCCAGGTGAGGAAGGAATTTTATCTGACTCCCTGCATTTCAGACACGTCTCATCAGTTATCTTCAGTTTCCCTCTCTCTGCCACACTGCAGAGCTCTAAAATACTTCCCAGCCTTCAGTCACAAGTGAAACAACTTTAAGTGCAGTTGCTTTAAGAGATCACCAGTCCTTCTACACAATTCATCTCTTTAAAACCAGCTGCACTTCAAAACCAAGGTGGCACATCAAACATATAAGGCCTATGTAAGTGGCACCAAATGTGGTGGCTTAAAGGCAGCAGAAGTCAAGTCTCACCCCAGATCTTTATATAGCCCAAAATCTGCCTGGTTTTAGGGTTAGCATTAATCCCATTTCAAGCAGGAGGCTGGAGACATCCAGAGATCCCTTCCATCCAGAGCTGCTGGGAAAACTGCCAGCACCTAGACAGGACCAAGCTGTTCAGAGCCGTAGCAGAGCTTAACCCAAATGTCCCAGCCCAAGGATTCAACACCAGAAATGGAAGGTGACAGGGAAAGGACACCCCAGATTATTTTAGAGAACAACTGCTGCATCTCCCAGAGCAACTTAAAGGAAGAGTTGCTACTTACCACTCCCTCACTTCTTTCTGTTTATTTTTACTCCTTTTTAAAGATGATTTACTTACCCTGGAGGCTAACTTGGCATGTGGGATGGGTCGGTGAGGACTTTAAGATTTCTAACTCCTCACACCTTTTCAGGCAGGTAATGCATGCAGGAACACTGCAACTCCTCCTGCTTTAAAATGCCCCAAAAAAAAAAAAAAAAAAAAGAGATGGTGCTGTCCAGGCAGAAGTTGTGCAGCTGTGAAGAAAGACTCTGTACTCTCTCCCTTCTACAAGCTTGGGAAAAAGAGTAAAAAAAGCTCACAGGTTTGAAGTATTTCATGCCTGGCACAGGGAAACAGCAGCAAGCAAAGCAACATTGAATTAGTCCAACCACCTGCAGCTCTGATAAAACAGAA